AAAAAATAACACTATTAAATATATCAAAAAAATTAAGTTTTACTATCACTATATTTTATCATTATAAAAATAGTCTAAAATTTAAAAAAGATTAACTTAAATTATTCATTATATTTAAACTTAGTAAAAATATTTTCATAATTTTTTTGTTTATAATTATTTTTATATAAATTAGCATAAATAATAAAATATACACAATTATACACTTATATTATAGATTTAATATCTAATAAAATTTCATTTTCTATAAAAATAATTATAGTAAGTTTAATAGCATATTAAATGATTTACAAATTCAACAATATTTACATACTTATATGTATATATTATGTATAAGTAATATTAAACAATATTTAAATAAGTTTTAAATGTAAAAAATAATATAAAACTAAAATATAATTCAACATGAGTTATATCATTAATAGATGTTATGCTAATTTGCAATAGAAATTTACATTAATATAATTGGTATAACTGTTAATCATTAATAATGAATGCAAACAGTGTTTGCCGTTTGTGTCCTTACATTAAACATCATATGAGAGCATTAAATCCATTAGTAAAGAGATTTGTGAACTGAATCTACAAAACAACAAAACTATTGCATTCAATGATGTTTATAGTGTTATACTCTATATGTGGCACTCATAAGACATGCAAGTGTTGCATACATTTGAATGTATCATATATTTAACACTAAATGTGAATTCAAAACATTTTTGTTGCGCTCAACGCAAGCTTTTATGTAAATTTTTTATTATAAAATGATTTATTGAAAACTGGTTGCAAAGTTTTTTTTTATTTTCAACAATAAATACATCGGTGAATAAAAATAATAGATTTTATAATACAATGTGAATATAATAACAATAAATAAATACTGATATTACTTTTTTCGATAATCTATGACCTGTAAAGTGTTGTATGAAATATTAAGTCTAGATTTTAGTAAAAATCAACAATAATTTATATGAAATGACCAAAAATATTATTGTATTATAAATTTTAATATATGATATGCTATGCTATGCAATGATCGTTTCTCGTTTGTGTATAAAAATAATTTTGATAAAATATAAAATGATTATCTGTCACAACAATTTCATGAAATGCAGATAATGTTGTGAAGACAATAAGCATCGGTAGGATAGAGGATATATACTACTGTATATATGGGCCATATAATATGGCTTAGAGATTGGCGACACTATAACTGGCAAACAATAGACTGAAAACATAACACAACACTGAAGATTAAAGTCAAGTCACAAAACATAATGCAAAGAGATTTAAAATGTATGAAATGATTCACAAAAAAAAGATTTAAAGCGTTTGACTCGTTGTATATTACAGTATATTACTCTATATCAGTATTTTCCTCTCTAATGGTGAGACTATAAACTCTGGGGAAAAATATAATCATTTCATTTCATTTCATATGTCATTCATTTCATATACGTTTAAGGCATAAAAGTTATACTTTATTTGCGTTTTGATACACAAAACAAGTACACTATACGTGATATTATGCGGAATAAATTTTTGACATTTTTAAAAATATACATAAAATGCATAAACTTTTTTAGTTTTGTTGTTGTTTTCACTCTAAAAATGTTAACTTATTGTAAATGAAATGAGATTTTTCACTGTTATATTCTACGTTTTAGCCGCTATTTTATGATAAAATTTAGCTTTTGATGAAATGTTATCTTTTTTGATATTTAAGTATTTGCACAAAAATAAAAGCCAGAGATATATCAATAATAGCAGATATAAAAACGCGAAATGGTTTGGATTTGGAGGCTATATGTAAATGTCTGATTCCGGATGACTTTGGGGAGTAATGGACTCGAAATAACGATCCTCTTTGCACTGGAAGCTCACATACACACACACACACACMCACACMAAACAATATACAACATTACTACATGTATATGTATCATAAAGTTTTCCAAATTTTATAGTGACAGCACATCAATTGTAAGTCAACAATATATATACCAATAACACTAAACACTCATTTTATTGCTCTTATATTATATAAACAATGCAAATGACTCGTTAAACACTAACTTGTAAATCATATATAAAAGTGATATATATTTTATGAAACTTTTCATAAGATACTGTATTAAAGTTATATATAAATTTCAGATAAATAGATTGATAGACAGGAAGAAAGAGAGAGAAATGAAAAAATCAATGTCTACTTTMTATCCTTTTATTTTATGTCTCATTTCTCATTTGTTTCACTATTATGTAAGTTTGCAAAGTATATTAAAATAATTGTTTATAATAACATTATATGAATATAAATATATTTATATCTAATATTTAATATTTAACAAAACTTTATTATATATATATATATTTATTACAATACAGTCTTTGAATATAACAATATGAATATAAATTGAGTTTTGATATTAAAAAAGGAGTGAATATTTGAGCTATTTTTTGAATAAAGATTAGCAGACAATTGAATACTGCAAGTGATGGCAGTTGTCTATTAGGAATAGACTACAAATGCATTGAAAAGAAGTTTGATTTTGAGTTATTTGGTTGAATCAAAACAAATAGCTTTTATGAGCCAAAAGTTTTAATTTTAGTCTCTTTTTTATTATACTTTCTTTTATTATAAATTTTTATTATTAAATTTATTTCACAATTTATTCATAATATTTATTTTTCAATTTTAAAAGTCAGAGTCACTATTTAATAATAATATTATATTAAACTATAAAATAAGTGTAAAAAGTTATGATTACTCATCTGTTTTATGTCAACAGTTAATAAATAAAAATAGCTTTAAAAATATTCTTAAAAAATGTTTTCATAAAAAAATATTTTAAAAATTTATAAAATTATAAGCAATGGTTTCAAAATTAATGATAAATATTTTCATCAGAAACYTATTTAGAGTTTATTGCAATATTAATTGCTTTCAAACAGTAATGTTCAACATTCATACAATCGACCGGTGTTTTTAAAACGTGTCTAAAATTTTACTAATTAATATTTATTGTTAAAATTTTGTGTATTTTAATACTAAAGTATTGTCATTTAATTGCTAATATAAACAGCTATAAAATATAAATTTATATTATATAATATACAGTTTATAATATAATACATAATATTATAGTGTGTATATAAGTACATTAATACTGTATATAAACATATATATATATATATATATATATATATATATATATATGTTCAACTGTAATCAATAAGATGAGTATCATTCGTCAATATTTACTTATAAATTATTTATAAAACTAATATTTTTAATAATTTACAAAAATAATTAAAAATCATAAATATGAAAAATATGCAAGCTAAAATAAAAGTATAATTATATTACCGTAATTGTAAATCGTTTTGATAATACATTGACTACAAAATGCACCTGGGTATTTAACTAAACGATTGTTTATACAAATGACTAAATTGTGATAAAAAAATGAGATAATTTGTCGGCAAAACTATTATATATATGAGACATAAATGAGCGGTAATATCACATGAATTAGATATTTGATGTTTTGATGTCTAATAAACTCTGTTTGTAAGTTAGATCAGTCAATCACATTAACAATTCAAGATTCAAGTATATAAATTCAAATAACATACAGTAGTATATTATCGATAGTAATAGTAGTAAAATTGTATTTATTGAATAAACTAGTGTACAAATTGCAATAATTTCAATACAAATTAGATTAAATGTATTAAAATAGTTATTGTTATTTTTGCCAAACTATACTATTTATTAGACAATAGTAATAATAACAATAGTGTCAAATCACATATCATTTGACAATTAATTTGAATCTAATGCTAACTCTAATTTATAGTTTAGCAAACAGTGCCCTAAACAACATAACATTACTATTTGATGCACCGTTAGGTTAACAGTTGGCCAAACATATAAAGCTAACTCTAAGACATAAATGAGTTCATACTTTACTAACAATAGTGTTGTTCTCTCCACTAAAAAGTATTTTTATGTGATTTCCCATTGGATTTGCCTTTTACTCAATGAGAGTCAACATTAAAAAGCATTGACTTTAACAATATTGAGAGAGAGAGAGATTGTGATGGTATTGAAGTAACTCCGGGAGCATCAGTGCACCAGTCAGTTGGTGTTTCGTGTGATTATGTCTGCAATTAACGACACAACAAGAGACAGCCGCTGAGGTACCAAACGTATCAATGAATACACATATTATAACATCAAATCATACGTATGTCATAACAATTGAATGTTTAAGCGTTGATATAAAGTAAAACATATAATTATATAAACTATATCTATCTATGAATTTTGGCTATTATTGCAATAATGCTATCTTATAATAAAATACATTTAGCTTTTATTATCACGAATGCCAGTAAACCTATATAAATAACAAACAATAGCATACAAACACATTACAACCCGCTATAGACTTTTGGTCGTAAAATATTATCTTTTCTATTAAAGTAATTGTTTTAAAAGTCATTTCTCTAATTTTGGATCATTTCTCTCTAATGTCTCATTTTATTTGATGGCTTTATTCATAACGCGATTAATATTTTATAGAAAACAGTCAAAACATGTATAATATTGTTAAAACATTATTATGCAAATAAAATTATTTTAGTTATAATATCTGTATTATGCTAATAATTATTTAGTAGTAATTATTGTAATTACTTATTATTTTATTTTAGCTTAAATACTGTACAATCTTATAAATATTCAATATTATCATATTTAACAAATATATGTTTATTATAAATATTAAATGATAGAAACTGTTATGAAAAACATTAAATTGCAATTATATGTCAATACCATTTCACAATATGATGTTTTCGTTTACCTAAATAATAGAGTAGTCATTATATAAATAAATTTTCTAATCAATAATAAAATATTCTTCAATTTTACTCGTTTTTAAAATAAATAAATAAATAATTTTTTGAATTAAGTTTTGGACAATACATACCAACACTGACCAGTGTTATACTATTAGCCAATATATCGTTTTGTGTAACTATTTGTTGTGGTGAACAAACTTTTGAATAATTAATGTATAGACCACCACTTTTTATCATACGAAGCGCATCCACTATAAAGATATTTATTTCATAACTTAATGTTATTTTGATGGAGTGGTTGGTTTAATTGGATTGTATCATATCATTGATATATTATAATATATAAATTATTAGAGTATATGACATTCAGTTAAATGTTTCATAAATTCATTTGCAATTTACAATTGAATATTTAAATCAAGTGTTAAAAAATATTAATATAAAGTTAGATTTTAATACATACATTCATTTACAAAGCACTGTGATTTCATTGCTAATTCAAGGACAGTCATCTGATCCGGATTAAAGATTAATTGTAATACCGGTGTCCCTTCAAACACATCATTTATTTCGGACTGACTGAGTTGGGCCAACAAATTAATATCTCTTTTAAATAATGATTCAGTGGTTCTCTTAGCAGATGACAGTCCGACCTCTGTTGTCGTTTTGTTACATAATATAAATAGTTTTAGTTATACTGTATATTAATACATGATTTGACCAATACCTCCGTGAACTAGTAATATCACATCTTCGGCCAACTTTTCCTGTAAATACCACGGCTTTGGTGATCGCAATTGTTTTTGAAACATCTGCTCGACTTCAGAGTCCGATCGAAATGAAAATATCTTAAAATATTTGAGAACCTGTTGGTCAGTAAGTCGTTGAAAAAACTGTTCAAATTATACGGAAATAAAATAATTTAATAAATAATATTTTCAAAGACATTGATAAACTAAATCAATATAACCTGATATAAGGCAAAAGCAGAAGTTCTGTTTTCATTTAAGTAAATGGCTTTTCCCTCACTTTTACCAAACTTTTTTCCGTCTTCATTGGTCAGTATGGGTACAAACAAACCAAACGCTTGTCTTTGCGTTAATCTCTTAATCAGGTCGTGTCCATTGTGTATATTAACTGTTTGATCGACTCCTCCTAACTTTTCTTACAATTTATTTTTTTAAATACCGGTAAATTTTTAACTTATAGGTTAATAATATTAGTAAAATATAAACCTGGATGTCTGTCCCATATTTTTGAAGCAAATAAAGCCAATCGTATGATTGAAATGCTTGATAGGAAAACTCGGAAAAACAGAGACCCGTAGTGTCCAACCGGTCTCTAATAGTTTTACCCATCATTGTTGAGATACGTAAATGTCGGCCAAAATTACTCATAAAATCAATTACATTGATATCATTATACCATTGGCTGTTCCGACATATACTTTACAGATTAACAACATTTTTAAAAATCAAATCAAATATAAAACATCTTTGATATAATTAATTGAATATTAGTTTATCATTCAACATACATATAATCTTCAAGTTTGTCATTTCGTCCCATTTTCTTCCAGAAGTATTTCTTGTGGTTATCGAAAATCCTTTCAATACTTTTTTCAATACTCGACGCATATCTGCCAATCAAATCMTTGTCAATCATAGGTCTCTCTTCAGTTTTACCGCTTGGATCACCGATTCTGGCCGTTGCATCGCCGATGACAACAACAATGCGATGACCACATCGTTGCAGATGAAGTAAAGCTATAATAACTAACAGATTTCCCACATGAAGACTGTCATACGTGGCGTCAAAACCGGCATAAATGGTATGTTTTGTTGATATTAATCGATTGATATCATCTCTGATATAATATTAAAAATACTAAACAATTGGTTCATTCAAATCAAATATTTAATTATAAAAATACTTTTCGGGAAAACATGTCTTTAAAATTCCTCGACTTTTCAGCCAATCGTATGTATTGTTACTTAAATCTCTTGATTGACAATAATTTTGTTGACAATTGTTATATTTGTTTGACAATCTGTGACACGAAAGAGATGTTTGATATATAACTGATCCAAATGGTAACCACTTTTGTTTGTGAAGATATTGTAATCTGAAGATAACATATATTATGAATATTGTCATCAAAATTGGTTTCATTTAATTGGTTTCAATAATAAGTTACCTTTTGATGGTATTTAAGCACATGTTTACAGTGTTTATAGTATTTATAGTTTAGAGTATTATTAATGTTATATAATATACAGTATATATACAGTTGTGCTGTCAATGTGTGACAACTGATGCAATGTTTTGATTGAAGTACACATTGACTGCGTTTGCGCCACAAATGCATCGATCGGTTGATTAAATGATTGATTGATTTGATAGTGATTTACATGAATTGTCATCACATTTATCATTGATTACATAATAAGTTGTATTTTAATGACAACAATGTAGTCATGAATTTCAAGACAACTGTATCTCTCGTCCATTATGTCCTCATATTGATTGCAATCTCAACTCGTGTGCAGTCATCACGACTTACATCGGTTCCAGTCTTGATTTGGACCACTCATCAGTCAGTATTGTCTTTGAAATCTTAAGTTATTTAATATATTAAAACAATTGATAACAATTAAAACGCAGACAAACATTGCCGTCATCTCAATGGCCATCCAAGTCATCAGTCGCTCAAATTGATTCAAATGTCTTTAAAGATGATTATCTCAATCAATGGCCATCAGTTGTGGCCTTCATTCAGAACAATATAAGTATTGAACACTTTTCTCTTCCCAATCATTTCAAGACATGGACTGAAATAATTAATGATAAATCTCAACAATCGGTAATAATTTGTTATAATTTATACATTTTTATAATTAACATAAATTTTTAGATATTTCTTACGGATGTCTTGAATCCAATCGATTCATTAAATGAATTTACAGTACAAGACATCGATAATCTCAATATAAACGATGGCAATAAAGTAATGATTAATTTACCGCACAATACTTTGTACGAAAACGAACAATTGATTAGTCATTTATGGCATCAAATCAGACCAAATGTATCGGAAAATACAATTTATTTGATTTCTGGTCGATATGGAGATGAAGATTTTTATGATAATGAAGATAATCGTCTAAATATAATTCACCATCGATTTCGAAGAGCTACCAAAGATGATGATCGATTGGTGTCTATTGATAACTGTCTCTACTTTTATATGAAGTCTTTAAAAATTGTTGTCAACTCAATTGATCCAAATTATCCGATATCGAGTACATCGTTTAATTCACTTGAAGTTAAGCCAACATTAGGTGAATCAAAGTGTTGGCAATCAAATGACACCAAAGAACCAGCAATTTTAGATCTAACATATAGTTCATCCGAAACTAAAGTTCATTTTAAATTTGTTATTAAGAGAAATATCAGAAAGTAATTGATTGTTAGGATAAGTGTTTATTCAATTTATTAATTATTAATTAATATTTTTAGTGGATTTTGGAGAATAAGCAATGGATTGGCATTTGTTACCCTTCCGTCTAAAGAAGAGATCAAATATGAGCTCAGAGTCAACGAAATCACCGCTGAAGACATGTTTTCTTACAGTTGTTCTCAGTTGAAAATTTCAAGTCTTGTTAACGATGAAAGCAGTAAATATGGTATTTTTAATACTATTTATTTAGTTTAATATTACAATATTAACATTAATTTATATTTTATTTTTAATAGCTTTTACACAACTTATCTTAAAGTTCAAGAACTTTCAATTACAGCCTTTTGACAATCCATTGAACAAAATGTCTAATAATAAAGTCAAATATGTATTTACCGCGAGTAGTGACTGTCAGGTGTGGATGTCATTACCGCTATGGATGGGATTCTTCACTTTGATTCTGTTTACGATTATCTTATTGATTGGCGTCTACTTCTTGTGGCGAATCAATAGTCCCGATCGCTTCGAGAATCCTAAAGGAAAGCCATTAATTATTTCAAGTTCTGATGAATAATTGTTTTATTGAATTCTTAAAATCTATAATTATTACCGTAATAACCGGTAATATTATATAAATAAGTAAATAGTACTAAACCAGTAAATACCGGTATCTAATTAGGATATAGTTAGAAACATTACGGTTAACTTACMGTTATATGACTATTATATTTATTATAATAAATAGTGATAATCTTAAATACAATACTCTCAATAAACTTAATATATTATAATATTTGGTAATTCAACCGATATTATGCAATGATCTCATTATTTATATTACTGTATATTTAATTTATTGTAATATTTATTATTTAAACTAAATTATATTTCTAGTTATTGTTTAATAAATAATGTATTGAATGCCATCTATGAGTGTTAGTGTGAAAGCATAGCATTGCAGTCAATGTTTGGCAAACATAGGATTGATTTGAATTAGTGTAACATTGGATGTGATCATCACTTTAACCACAGATTGCATTGTCGATGATTGTGTAAAACATTGAGTGATTGCATTGAATGTCAAGACATGCAATCATCAAAAGTACTGATTTTGCTTTTAAATGCTATCCATTTGGTGATTGCCAGTCACGCCGGGGATCAAGTAGTTGATCAAAGCTATGGCCAACAAGAGTCAGACAAACATATTATTGGCTCTAAAGAAGAGTTTCGTATACTTTTGAAACAGAAACGATCGCAACAGTTGGCGGCCATTAAGACATTGAACTCGTTTGGCAGATACGAGCAAAAGTATACAATGGTTGACAATATCTTTAGTAAACTGTTTGAAGTCCAACAAAATGCCAAACAAACTATTGAGAACTCGTCGTATGTCTTGGGATTGGATTTGCCTACAGATGGCCATCAATTGGAATCATTGTCACAGATCATCGAGAACTGTGCCTTCTTTGGTGATATAGTGCTTCGGTTGCCAGACATCAGTCATCGGGTGCTGACCACTCATCACGAATATCAAGTGCTCTATCGGTGGTGCATCTCATTTGCCATCGCCAGTGATTTGTGCGACAAAAACACACTTAAGATGTTTGATCTATTGGCTCAAGAATTGTCACTCGAGCCTAAAGATGACTCTTACGTGAATCCGTACAAGAAGTCAAACAAAGCTAAAAGTAGACTCAACAGTGATATACCAATTGAGAGGACAAATGGTGACAACAACAACAAGAAGAGTGCGAAACGCATTCAAAAAGTTACTAAAAGAGGTCCAAGACTTTCAAAATCAAAGACTGAACTCTGATTTTATTTGATTTATAGCTCAAACTGTTATTAAAATTAATATATTTTCAGTATTTGTTATGACATACAAAATAAGCGATAAATTAATGTATTTATTATTATTTTTGTAAATATATTTAATATTTAGTTAAAAACATCCAAAAATTTTATTTATTTTCCATACATTTTATATATATTTATGTAATAAAATTGAAATAATTTATTTGAAAAAAATGCATAAAACTGATGGAAAACCTRATGATTAAACAGTTGGCCAAAAGAAACAATTGATGTCATCACTAGTGTTAGCACACTTGACATCCAACAGTGCAATACAGTATGAGTGAAGGAAAGGCCTATTTAGACAACTATTGGTTTCAAACATCAATTTAAATTCCCACTGATGTATAGTTCCCTTTCCCAACGGAAACATAAAGAAAATATATGAAATAATAATTATTGTCAAAATAGAGGCAAATCTATAACTATTTTGAATGGTTTTGTTTCTTAAAATCTAAAAAAATATTAAAGATTTTCTCAAAAATGTTTCGGTTTCTCTTTTATTATCACAATCATTATCCATATGCTATACAACGTTATTATGGATGAAAATATAAAAATTATTATTTTTTTAAATTATTAATTTTATGTTTCTTAATTAACATCAATTATATTGGTAATTATATCATAATATGAAAACTTGTTTAATTTAATAATTAAATTTATGTATAAAAGCTATATTTCATAATAAAAATGAAAGGTATGAGTGATGTAAATAATGAGCAAACTTCTCAAATACCGGAATAGTTGGAATGGGAAGTTCCCTCCCACGGAATATAATGGTTGTGTAGTAGGTTCTGGTATAGTATAGTACAGTACAATACGTACGACCACTTGTGCGACTAATGCCAGAATCCTAGTGTTTGCCCACAATATAGTGTGCGCCGCGCATACGGGAGAGGGATCTAACCCGCGTATGTGTTTAGGATAGCCCACAGACAGAGGAGATTGAAATAACAGCTTATTCTGTAACTCACATTAACACACATCTGACGGTTTCACTCGCACTGCAAACTATACAACCCGTGTCTAAAATTATTGAAATATTTATTATAATAGTCGGTAAAGTAAATTAGATGGACAGTAGAAGACATTCGGCCACACGTGTGGCCGCAGCAGTTGCACAGGAAGCCATAAACACACTCATGTCATCCTCGGCTGATCACGACTTTGAACTTAGTCTCCAGTCCTACACCAAGAATGGCACCAAAGATGGGATTCAAGCAGAAGCTAACACCTCGACAGACAAGATCACAGTTAATGGTCTGAAATCAACTCACAAATCGATGTATGATTCATATCAGGTGTGGGCTCTCAAAACATACGGAGATTCAGCTAAAACTAAAACAGTGACTAAAAAGAAATACAACAGAATATTGAAGATTTTGAAAGGAGAAGAGGGACAGAATGTGGAGAACTCTAAGTTCAGATTTTGGGTTAAAGCTAAGGGTTTCCGATTGGGACCACCAAATCTGGCAGCACTTCAAGCCAAGAGCACTGTCGAACAGGTGCTATACGTTCCCTGTTCTAAGTCAGCACAAGTATGTATTCATTTATTTATTACTCATTTGTTTTGCCACTAGTTTTTTCGCTCATAATTTTTTCTATTATATTTTATATATACTATATATATATACACAATGGTTTAATATATAAAAGTTTATTAATGTTATCACAGAATATACAGACACAGCTTTTTTGTGAACAGAGAGGTATGGTATGGGTAGTCGTACTTTAATATTAATGGTATGACTTGTGTAGTGAAATAAATGAATTGGCAAAAGCCTGGTGTGTGTGTGTGTGTGCACTGTGTAGGTCTGTCTCTGTGGTGAAGGTGCTGTGCGTTACGTTTATTAGATTGTATGCCAATGAGTGATAGGCAGAGCTGGCAATACATTTGTTGACTGAACTGTAAGGCAATGTAATTGTGAACACTATTGATGTGAACAATCATTCATAAGCTCTCACTTTAAAAGAAACTTTTCTTTACCATTACGTGTCTGACATGAAAGTATCATTTCAGGAGATATCACATATACTCACATTAATTCATATTTATTTGATTGCTATTATCAATACTTGAGTTTTTTGAATTAGTTTATAGTTATCAACAAAGTTTATGGGGGTATGGGGTCATCATTTAGGTCACAGCACTAAAGTGGACAAATATGTTTGGGTTGTATACCGTAATAATTGGTATTAAAGAGTATATATATAGTTGAATCTCATACAGTATATGTTAATGTATTTGATATGTTTGTAAAATTACCCAAAACTCTACTAAAATGATGTGCAATACTATACAATATATACAGTAATTCTACGGCAAAACCTTTTCCACCTATTTTTATATGACTGCAGTACTAAAGTTTGCATCGAAATACAAAAATAGAGGAATAGAGAAATAGAGTGCAATTTTATGGCTTAATATATAGCTCGCAGCTCAGGCTCACGCTCTCTCTCTCTCTCTCTCTCTCTCTCTCTCTCTCTCTCTCTCTCACTCACTCGTTCAATGTGTACTCTAATCTCTTCTCCCAGTTCTCTTTCTTTCTTTCTTTCTTTCTCTCTCTCTCTCTCTCTCTCTCTCTCTCTCTCTCTCTCTCTCTCTCTCTCTCTCTCTCTCTGTTAGTACAATAATAGCAGTTATGTGCTCTCAATTGCAAGTGAGCTTAACTCAACTCAATTCTCTATTGCATTGAGTTTTAGGCAAAATGTGAGTTTTGTCTGAAAATTCACATCCAGTCAACAGAAAAGAGAGAGAGAGAGAATGTATGGAAAGCTGTATATATATATATATATATATATATATATATATATATATATATATATATAGTATATATTTGGTGCACTTGTATTGTATGCTTAGGAAAGGCATGTAGTGTGCAGTGACTGTTGGCTTCAAGCGTTAGCATTTGTATGTAAACGGGACACCATTAGGTTGTAGTATAAGCTGAGCTTCTTTTGTATTGCAGTACTATATTGGAATGTGTGGATCGATAATACAATCTGACTGCGGGTTCCACCGTTGCCAGTGATTGCCTCCATTTCCAACTGATATCGAACAGTCATTTCGAGCACTTGCTTAGTATGTGTTGTGCTATACTTTCCCCATAACATCCCTCTGCCATCATCTCGACTAAGAATGAGATTCACGAGTATTGAAGAGAGAGAGAGAGAGAGAAAGAGAGAGAGAGAGAGAGAGAGAGAGAGAGAGAGAGAGAGAAAGAGAGAGAGAGAGCAGTAAAATGCTATTTCACTAAATTATAGCCACCCCTGCCTACAGTTACACCCGTTTCCACATACAGTCACTCACACTCTTTCTATGCAAGAATTATGAGCACAAAACTATGCAAACAATAAGCGCTGAAAAAAAGTTTTGCATAAAATCTAAGATTTGACTCATTTGACAGCAATTGAGTTCAATATATTTACTTTAAAATATTATTTTTGAAACCATATTTATGTCAAAATTCAAATAATAAAATACACCGTTTTTTGGTTTTGTATGGGTTATAGATTTATCCAAATAATTATCAGCACAGGTATTAAATTCATTCATTTGAAATGAAATGTTATGAATGAAATAAAATCTCATTTTGCAAAATTCAAACTTATATTTGATACAATTATTTATTATTTTTTAGTATATACCGGTATATATATACTGTATATGTTGTTGCGTTTGATACAGTACTTACTCAGGCATACAATTGATGGGATAAAATACAATATGTTTTTATATAAAATATGTTTTATCATTGGTTGCACTCTTATGAATGACATGTGAAGGCTAGCTATGGGTCTGTTGTCTGTTTACTGTTTATTTTGTTTAATGAATGAAAGATAGAGTATAACTATACTGTAGTACTTTATAATTGAATGTAAAGATTTACAAACAAATATCATTAAAAAAAAGTTAATTATAATAAATGATAACAAAACCACACAAATTAGAGGGACATTAAAAACAATGTTAATGTGACCTTTTTTATGGGTCTAACACACAGTGCAACAGTTGACAAGCAATTTGATAATTTACTGGCACTGCATATACTGTACACTCCATCGATTCAATACATTTGGACTGACTTTCACTTTCTATGCTCTCTATCTATCCATCTGTTTAATGGAGTCAATGCAATGTCTCAGTGAATGTGCAATATTTTATATCATTAGTTTTTATATTATAATACAGTTTATATATTATATACACTACAGTACATATCGAAGCAGTACACCTGTGCTGCAAACACACATACTTTCAATAACAGTATATATGTATATATCATATATATATATATATATATATATATATATATATATGATKATTTTTTTTCAGGATATATAAATTATATATAATAATAATAAATGTGATTACAATGTATTAACTTTTATTTTAGATTAGTTAAAAAATAAATAATTATTTGTAAACAAATCTTTGATATTTTAAAGCTTTAATGTAATTTATATTCGTTTAATAATATTTATATACAATAATATGAGGACTGGTATATTTATAATGTATTTGTGAAATGTTGGTCACATAAACAGTAGTTTTTATCTGAGCTTTAAATCATATATAACTCAAATGACACAACTGTACGATTGTTGTCGATATATATATATTGATACAATTGTGTGCCTATCATATCTTGCATTTATATGTTGTCCACAAAATAACTGAAAGCTTTTTTATATCAATGATTAGTTGTTTCATTTGATTTTAAACTATGCTTTTCTTTGACAGAAAAGTATGATTTCAGGGGTTGGACTTCAACTTAGAGACCATTTTGCGGATAAATTTGAGTCTAGTTTTAAATCAAGAGTTTGTCAAAAGATATAAAAATATATTATATTTTTTATAAATAAGTTTAATTTGCTTATAAGTTTAATGCTGTATATACTATATGTGATATAAATTTTGTGAATAGAGAGGCAAAAATATAAAAAATTGATTTCAAAGTGTATATAAATTTATGTTTAAAGTTTGGGACAGATATATGATTGGAGTTTAATGATGTGTTAATAAAAATTGAAAATATTTAAAGAAATAAAGTGATATCAAATCTATTTGTTATCAGCAAAACCCACAAAAGTGAAAATCGGTGCTTAAAAATAGTGTCGACTCTGGAATAAGTGAATAGGGAGAGAGAGAGAGAGAGAGAGAGAGAGAGAGAGAGAGAGAGAGAGAGAGAGAGAGAGAGAGAGAGAGAGAGAGAGAGAGAGAGAGAGAGAGAGAGAGAAATAAGTGAAAAGTAAAATAAATTACTCGGTTTTCAGATTGAGTTTGTTTTATATTTTATCTGTTTGTTAGTAATGGTAATAGTGGTGTAACACAACACTAGCATTCAATCAAATGGCAAATCAACTCTTTGTCATTATATATATATATATATATAATAAGTAAAATATATTGATACAGTTTATTAGAAAATTGTGATGAATTAAGTTTTTAGTTGCAATCGACTACTATTTACGGCTAAATTTTGCTAACAGTTGACTCTTTCATTGGTTTTTATAATCATAAGCTTAAGGATTAGTACAGAAAAATAGTCGGTTTGTTATTTGAAGGCTTGCATTACTACAGGACTGTTACCAACTAAACACTCATTTATTCTTATGATAACTACCAGAGCCAGGCATTGATAACTCAAGTTCTGACCAAATTTCAACGTTAGAGATTAAAGTGTTAGTTGAAACATATATACCTTATATGATTGGGTAGGTATAGTCAATATATTCATTGTCCGGCATTACACACATTATGCACGACATCCTAACGTTGTTTAGTTCTCCTGAATAAAAGATTTGTCTAAATAAATGTCTCATTTGTTTTTCAATGGGTTCATAGTTTTAGTCATTATGTCGAGGCTTTTGGACTCAACAAAACTCTCTTAAATTATTTGTATCACTATTTATACACTAATTTCACATCCAATTTCTGGTTTACATCAAACCCTTTTCTAATAACAATTGATTTTCAACAATATATTCTTAATTTACTATTTATCTAATTTAGTCTCATTTATGGCTAACACAAACAGTTTAAAAATTTATTAAAATTTGTATTTTTGTTATTTGATAATAATTTACTGTTAGAAATATCTAAAAATATTTGCTAAAAATATATTTTAATACTAAAGTTATATCATTAGTGGGCTGTAATAACACACGTTTTAGTTAATTATGAAAAATAGTTGAGTGTTTTACACGTTTGTCATTTTGTGTTGAATTTTGATTATCAATTGGACCTCAAGATAATGTATTTCATTTTAATTTTCCGATTCACAAAACAGGGTTGAATACTGACAACACAGCTATAGTTAGACCCGAAAAGTGTCTCACAATTATTGTGTGCTTTTAGTTTACTTTTACAGCTCAAGCCTACCGATGATTTTAGTACTTTCTATATTAGGGTTTACTCTAAGAGCACACATACTATTAGTTTGAGAGACGAGTATATAAAAGTTGGTTTATTTGGTGCACACATTCACTCTAATCAAAAGGCTATAACTCTGTGCTCTATATATATRTGTGTTTA